CCACATAAAATCATCTTGAAACCACAGCATCATCTGACTAGATCCAGCCTTTCTCACTTTTCTACATGATGTGAAACTCTGCTGAAAAACATGCACTCATCTTTATTCCTAGACAAGAGTGTGGTGGCAGAACTCTGAAGGAGAACCAAAACCCAACAAATGCAAGTTTTGCACAGAAGCAATTCAGCGCCATATGAAGGGAGGCTGTTTTCAGGTTCTCCTTGGTTTATGAGAAAGCAGTGATTTCAGAATACTTGGAGCTCAGATGAAGAGACAATGAATGCTTTACAGCAAATGGGAAGATATGTCTGAGTCAGAGCAGCTTCAAAATTTCTGATTTTTAGCTTTACAGATTGCTGTTTCTCCTAGTCTTATTCTATGATGGAAGACAGGAAGAGCATGCTAAAAGGCTGTGTTCTTACTGGAATTTCTAAAGACTTATCCTAGCTTACACTAAGAAATATTTTCATCCTTCCAAGTCTGAGAAGCTTGTTTACAGTGAAAGTGACCAATCCTCTGAAACAATGAAACATCTGATTTTCCCACTGAAATGTACTTCAGCACCTCAGAACTATCAGTCTGAGCCTGTATCACAACTCAGTGGTATCTTTACCTCCTACAAATCAAAAAATAGCCCAAACAGAAACACAAGCCTTGATGCCTGCATCTATACCACAGGGAAGGATTTCATTTTGCTGTCCACAGAGCCAACATCAAGAACTCTTCCTTTTCAACCCAGCAAAAACTTCTCATGGCAGTCCCATAGCCAATGCCTCCTTGTCTCCCTTCACATCTGTCTCACTAAAGAGCAGATTTGAGTTAAATTTCTTCCCAGAGTACATTTTTTTTCTTCCAGAGTATGAGCACATCATGAGCCCACACCATTATTTTTACTTGAATATGAAGTTAGCACCAGTCTTTCCCAAAACATTTTGGTTGCAAATAATTTCACCAGTAAATAAATTAATCTGGAATATTGAGAATACAGGGCTGTTTTGGGTTTTTTTGTTGGTTTTTTTTTTTTGGTTAAGTGAAAAGATTAAAGAACAAAATGCTGTTGAAGCAGAATCCATTATGAACTGCAAGACAATACACAGTCCAAAAGTTACATCAGAGTATTCTCAGTCCTGCCAAATGCATCTTTACTGAAATTGTTAGTAGGAAGAAGGTGATGTATCATGCCATTATTTGAAATGCAGCAAATATTTCTGCAGTAGGTCTTAGGTTTGCAACTGTAACAGTGAAATATTACACACACATTGCCATCTCATGGATACTACAAATACTTGTTTAAAATTCCAAGAACGCAATCCCCAACAGAAAAATTTGCAGAATCCACAGCAAATAAAATTGTAAAGATTTACAACGTGAAAGCAGGAACTTCACATTTGAAACAGTCCAAAAATCTGCCTCAGATTCTCTCGTAGTAGTTACTATTTTTACGACTTGGCTCAGACTTGCTTTAATCTCTTTATTTAGGGAGAAATTGCAAGCTTGCCAACTCTAGCAAATGTTAAGTACTTCAGTAAATTCCCCATCAATATAGGTCGTGCATTCGAGGGAACAAGAATGTGGTGAGTATGTTCTGCTCCGTCTCCTCCAAAGGGGATTTCAGAATAAGTCAGTGATGGGTGAGAGAGATAAACAACGTAGCTAAGCCCCTCTTTCAGCTCCATCCTCCTCTCCAGACATCTGTCCACAGCGTGTTTGTGCCGTGATTGAGATGTTACGTGATGCAGCTGACCCGGCCTGCCGTTATCCCTCATCCTTTTTACCAGAGCAGGCAGGGCAGCACATGGATCGCCAAGGCTATCGCGTCCTCGCTCTTCCATTAAACTTCAGCAACAGCACCAAGCGAGTTCGAGCAAGTCAGCAAACCCATAGCACACCCAAGAGAAGGTACCCAGGTACGGAGGATGAATTCACGAACAGTCCGAATAGCCTGTGCAGACTTTCCGGAGCACCTGAGCCAAACTGCCTCAAGCCACTGAGTGCTGTCAAACCCCGAGTTCTGCTGCTAAAGAGAACTTGGCAGCCAACAAACCAAACCGCGGACGGTCTCTCAGGCTGCGCCCGCACAAACGCACCTCTGCGGCCAAAGGACTCGGAGGAGCGAGCAGCCAAGTTGGGGATCCCTCCCTGCGCTCGTCCGGCCGGGACCTGCGGCTGTCCCCACTCGGGGGGGGACAGGGCCGGCGGGGAGCCCCCGCGCCGGGAGACGCGCTCAGCCGGGCGGCGGCCGCCTC